AAGTGCAATGCCCCCATCTACTGTATGTTTAGATTTCCTGTTTGGCTCTGAGATCACACACAGATGGTCTGTACAGGACTGGTTTGCTGGAAGAATTATTATTTTTCCCTTTTAAAAATAGCTCTTTGATTAATACTCAAACCTGTCAGCACCTGTCAATTTAGATGACACCTTGGACAGCCAGCAAAACCTTCTTGATTCAGATCCATTGAGATAACAAAGTGTTCACATCATCACTATATGGAAAGGAGGCAACACATACACAAGCTTCAAAATACTTTAGGGAAATGTTCGGTTTAGAGACGATCACTAAAGTTTCATGCTGACATCACTCTGCTTAATGTAGTCATTCATATGGGTGTTTAATATGGTCATTTTCAGACAAGTTACATGCTGCTAGTCACACCACTTGTTGCTCATTGGTCAGTCCCACCACGTAGGCATCAGTCTATGGTGGTAAAGAGCACCACTGCGGTGTTATTTCGATTTCGCTACACTGGAGAAATCAACCAGATGTGTAATGAGATGTTCTATAAACTCTACTGGAGAGGCATTGGTGGTGGAGTGGAGAGCATAGCTGCTTGCCAAGCATTTGTCCTTTGTTTAATATGTATAATATGTTAACAAGGAACTTACCATTACTACCTGTGTTAAAGGATAGAGATGTATGTAAAATATGCTAAATGCTGATTATATTATTTCGTGATCCATAACATCACTGTGGAAAGTTGCTCATTCCCCACATAAATTGGAATTAGTAGGTTCTCAATTAAAATCTGACCCTTAAACATTTCTGCTGGTGTGGCCGGGGGAGGATGAACCTCTGGTGTGAAAGAGGATGTGGGAGAAGGTCCCTGATAAAATAACATAGTTATTTGTGAACTGGAAGGGTTTTTGCATCTCAGCATTATTCGCTTGGTGGATGTAAAGACCAACCACAATGTAGGAGAAGTGTCCACAGTAAATAGAAGGGTTGTGCCGCACTAAAAACACTCTTTTTGTGCAGGCTGTGTGATTTACAAAACACTGACAAACACTATGAGGCCATGTTTCTGTGTTCAGGGTTTGGAGGACTTGAATTCAGCTCTAAAACACTGATGAGCTTGATGTGACCTGGATTCAAACCAGGGTTGCTGATACCACAACACAGTACTAACCACATCACAGCCTCTTGCTCAGTTATGTTGTGTCCAGAATAAAGAGGCTGGGATGGAGAGAAAGAAAGATCTACCTTTATTAAAAACATTCATTTCCAGGATTGTTTCTCATTCAGAAACCGCGCCTTAGTTGAACAATTTAAATCTAACCCCAAGTTTAAAAATTAAAAACTAAACGAGACTTTTAATACATTGTTAGCCCGATTCTTTAGTTGGAAGCCTAAGAATAAACCAGAGTAGATTAAAAGTATAAATATCACATTTATTAGTCACAAGCAAAGTAAATCAGCGCTGGGCTCTCACACACAAAGCTAGATGGTCCAATTCTAACAACATAATTTATTCAAAATCCAAAGAATAAGTAGGGTTTAACAACAAATGAAAACGTGTGTTGTGAAATTCATTTAAGAATTTCCCTAAACCTAACTGGACAGGCCAGCGTTTGGGACTCAACTTCAACGGGAAATAAACCAGTTTGGGCTTACACCAGCATGTTTTTTGGAGCACGCTTTAAAAAATGCATGTAATTCCAGATAAAAAGAAAAACAGAAGCTATACCAAAATCTTTTAAAGAACTTATTTTAAACCTTTTCTAAGCAGTTACTCACATTAGCATTGTATGCTATAATGTAACCCATGTAAATGACTGATTGTGTTATTCCTTTTAGGACTATATTTTTGTATTAAACTGGCTGTGCCCCCAGATTTTCTCTCTCTGTGGCAGTAGATGCACGTCTTTAGGTCAACACACACACTTTGTTATCACATTTAATGTCATCTGCATGAATGGTTGTTTCCAGTCATCCTTGTATATGACAATAAAGTAGTGAAATCTCAATCTATTTATTTTTATTTAGTGTATTTGAAATTGGCCTATAGGCTCATAGGTCTGTCGTCCAAAACGGACAACAAAAAAAAGTTCCCAGCGCCCCCTGTTCAAAATGGCCTCCAACGGCTCACGGACGAACTACGGGATTCGTGCTTGTACTTTTCTCTCTCATTAGTCGCGGCGTTTTCGACTGAATGGCAAAAAAATCTGAAACGCCGTCCGGGAAGACCAATCCAAGATGAGACCTGTGTGCGCGGGAGAGCCCACAATTCAGACATCCGGGACCTGGTTACCGGAAGTGAATATTTTTCCGTTCCGGATTGTGTTGCCGTGGCAACACAACTTTTACAGTTGAAGTGAGCCCGATATTTATTTATTTTCAAAAGACAACTGCATTATTTAAGTCACCTCCTTAATATTAAGATCTGCTTCTGTTATTTTGTTAAAGGATAAAATAGTAAAATAATTACCTTGAGGCTGGTGAGCCTTATTAGACACCATATTATGTAATCACATACGCCCCCTGGTGGAATCCTGAACTAAGATAAACGAATATTTCCCTTTTCATTGATAGTGGGGATAGTAGTTTAGGACCCTTTGGTTTTCCATTATTGGATATCTTTTAATTCCACCTCTGGAAATGTATTTAAATTTGGAGGCAAATAACTAGTGACTGCTGACATGAGTGTTGCTGGTGGTGGAGGCATCTAATGAAGGCTCTTTTTTGGATGTTATGCATAGTTCCAGTAAAAATCTGCCGTTTGTTTTGCTTTGACGCAGTTTGGGATTTGCACTCCGCAGTGTGCACAGCTCCAGTGGCCCAAAATACACAGTCAATGAAGGCAGCAGGACGCTAGGGATCTCACAGCCAATTTCAATGATAGAAAAGCAAAAGTCGGGGCAGTTTTAATACAGTTTAACATGAAAACAATCATAACTGCCTGCTTTGTAATGCTTCAGTCTTATTGTCCTAGATCCGAAAAGTACCAGACATTGCATTTAATACTACAAACGGAATCAATAATCATTTGCCTTGACATTTTTTTGCCTAATTTTTTAAAAATTCTTTTTTCTAGCAGGGAAAGCAAAATATGTGTAAACAAAGTAAGTAAAAAAATAAAATAATTTCCACATCAGAGAAATAAAAGTGGCCCAAACACTGCAACCCCTGTTCTTCTAACTGGCTTGATGATGGGTTTTCCTGTGATGACCTCTTGTGGAATAAAGAGTTGGTACAGAAAAGTGGGTTGAGGAGCTTCAAAGTATTTTTGCTCATTTTAGATATTCATTTTACGCCAACCCTCACTTCTGTTTATTTGAGTACCTTGTTTAAATTTTGATTGAATGGAATTTTATGACTCGCTCTACGTTTCATTTCACATTGGATGCATCCCAGATCTCAGAGATCATCCTGTTCTAGATTCCAAAGAGGCGGGGTTTCGTTCTGACAGGGTTCTCTAGATTGTGGGCGGAGCCTGAATTATCCCCCCCCTCCCCCACTGCTAGGCAACGCCAAAGAACATTTGTGGTGATGTCACAGTGTCAGATGAAAACATACACACGCCGTGACATCACTTCCACTTTATAGCTATATCCTGTTCAGAAGTCTGCATCACCAGACATCACAGACCCTTCACTGGATCTATAGGACAGACGGGATTCTTTATCACTTTGCATTCTGATAAAGAGAACAACCATGGAAGATATACCAGAACCAAAACCAGCCACTTTAGCAGAGATAATGAAAGATCAGTATGAGGAGAGACGCACTTTTGAAAAGAGAATTTTTAATATGATGCTGGAAAACCAAGGACTCAAAGAGCAAGTGCAAGGCTTTCAGAAAAAACTTGAAGCAGCAAAACAGAAGAGGGATGAAACTATTAGGTTGAAAGAAAGTGAAAAAATATTCTTTAGCGATGACGTGTTAATGCTGAATAAGGTAATGGGTATGTTGGCACCTCTGGAAGTGGCTATAGTTCAAGCCAAAACTTATAACGATCAGCTAAAACAAAAGTTAAAGGCCTCCAAGTCAAATTACAAGGAAATGTTGGAAGAAACAAAGCAAAAGCATAAAGAGGATCTGTCAAAAGTGAAAAAGGAAGTAGAGGTAGAAAAAGACAAAATACAAAAAAATGAGGAAGAATTCCAACGTGCCATAAAAGAATTGAAAAAGAAGGCAAAGAAAGACATATCTGAGATTAGGAAGGACCTTGAAAAGAAACTAGAAGAGCAAAAAACACAAAACTCCACACAGTCAAAGAGGATCAGAGCTTTGGAGAAACAGAGGACAGAGCTGGAAGAAACTTTTCAAAGGGAGAAATTAGCACCTTCTGAAACCGCTGCAGGGAAAGAAAGAACAATCAGAGACTTGGAACAAATTGTAGAAAAACAGCAAATTGAAATCAAAACTCTAAGATCTAAGGATCCTCGGGAAATAGTTACCAAGTTAAGATCCCAAAACTCTGAGTTGACCGCCAAAATAAAAAACCAGAACAGGGAACTTTTGGCTCAAAATAATAACATCAAGGGCCTTTTAACAGATATAGAAGATCTCAAGTCAAAGCTGGGTTTGACTAATGTGAGTCTACACAAAGCAAAAGAGACCATAAAAGAGAAAGAAGAGAAAGAAGAGCAGTATTGCGAGGAAAAAGAAGCCATGGAAAACAATTATGCCACATTAAACACACAGTACAGCGAATTACTTGTGCAGTTCAACTCCGCCAAAGCCCAAACGAACACCTCAGTTAATGAGACAGAGAAGTCGAAGAGTAAGCCTGAACAGCACGTTAACAAAAACCCGAAACTCCAGACAGATCTGCAGGAATGTGTTGATGTGTTAGGTCGTCCCACAGTTTTTTCTGACAAGTTTCAGACCGACAGTTTGCTGCAAACAATCAAAGACCTAAAAGAAGAGATAATAAAAAAAGAAAAGATGTATGAGAAAGCCATGAAGCCGTCACACCTCAAGCTTTTTTCCTGGTGGAGGAAGAACGTTCTGCGGAAAAACGCCCTACCACAGCGCCACCTAGTGGAAGAGACAGATCCCTCCCATCCGTCAGCTGAACAGGAAAGGCCTCCATCAGCCGCTCAGTCTGGGGAAGTCCCTGATGTGGAAATACTGAAACATGAAGAACCTCAACCACAGGACCATACACAGATCTCCCCTTCTCCTGCCACTAGTCCTCCAGTTGACATTCCCTACCTGAACCACTTCTTTGCAGAGTTTGAAGATGGTTTACCAAGAGTTGACTAAAACTAAACAACTCAACCCAAACCTATGGAACAAGGCAAGACATACGGATACAGTTCAGTTAAAAAAATGAACAATCAGAGACCAGTTTGCGCACACACAGTTTTCCCAATCTGCATTTCTTCCAAACAAATTGAGATTGGGAAGACTTATGTTGAAATAAGTGCTCTTATCTTTATAATATATGACTTGCTTTCTTTCTTTTGGAGCTACAAAACCAGACGGGGTATATTTACTCTACCCAGAGGTTTTTCCCTGCCAAGCCAAGGAATTATTCAAAGGACTTGAAGAATCAGTGGAAGGTTTGAGTTCACTACTTCCACGACTGAACCATGAAGAATTTGAACCCTGAGTACCACGGTTAAGGATGGTTTGAATACCTGTTCTTATTATTATTGCTCATTTTCATGAATAAAACAAATGAATGCTTTCAAAAAACCAATTAAAATAGTTTTTTTTTCTTTGAGAATTCTTCTTTTTTTTATTTGGATTTTATGTCAGGGGGTCAAACTGTCAGTGTTTGGGAATGTAACAAGGTACATTTACACATACTGCATGTTAATATTCAACAATCCCGTCTGAGAGTAAAAACATGAATGAAGGAAGGACAAACAATTTTGATTTACTCTTGAATTCAAGTTCAATTCAATTCAATTCAATTTTATTTATATAGCGCCACATCACAACAACAGTCATCTCACAGCGCTTTCCAAACAGAGCTGGTCAGACCCTACTCTGAAGTTAATTACAGAAACCCCACAATTCCCACCATGAGCAAGCACAGGGCGACACAGGCAAGGAAAAACTTCCTTTTAACAGGCAGAAAACTCGAGCAGAACCATGGCTCAGGTCATTTCATCTGTTTATTCATTTCTACCAAAAACGTATTCAATTAATTTTGTTATAAGAATTGAGGGAGGGAAGCCAGGAATCAAAACAAAAGACAACCCAGGCGGTCGTTACAAAACCATCCTCCTCAACAACTTTTCTCTAATAAGGGGGACCATGCCATAGGCAGGCACCACTTACTACTATTGAAAAATTATTATAATTCTTCCGTTTCTCCCGATATTCGTCTCCTTACTAGCCCAACTAATTAACTTTAAGTATATTAACTACCTTTTAAATAAGTAAGCCTTAACCCCACCCCCAACCTCAGTCCCAATGCTAACCCTATACGTGATGAAACAACCAGCTAGTTTAGGGAAAAGAGATGTAACATAAACCAGGCTCTGACTGAAGCCCTCTGAGCGGGCTTTAGTCAGAGCCTGGTTCTGGTTCTGGGGATCGGACCCAACCGGGTTGGAACCAGACCGGGGCTGGACACAGTCATGTCATACCTCGTTGCGTAGGTCTTTTCCTCAGCTTTCAGCCAATGTGACCCCCGTCCTGCCCACCCCATCGGTATTTGGTCAAAGCTCAGCCAGGTCCCTCCATATAATGCATATAATGCATAAATTATTTCAGTGAAGCTGGTAAACCCATTCTTTGGAGCCCCGCCACACAGGCGGGCCATAAAGTCTAAAGAGGAGGCTTGGAACCTTTTCAAGGAGTTTCATGAATAAATGCCAATAATTTAGTAAGAATTTACAGAGGGGGGGTGTCTGACTCTCTGAGGGAGGGATTGATGACCACAGGCAGGAATGATTTCCGGTGGCGCTCTGTGGTGCATCTGGTTGAGAGGAGTCTTCTGCTGAAGGAGCTCCTCTGCTGGGCCAGTGTGTCGTAGATAGGGTGTGACCCATTGTCCAGGATGGACTGAAGCCTGGACAGCATCCTCCTCTCTGCCACGGTGGTCAGAGTGTCCAGCTCCTCCCCTACAACATCAACAGCCCTACTGATCAGTTTGTTTAGTCTGTTGTTGTCTGTGACCTCCAGCTTATTATTTAAGTCCACCCCCAGGTACTTATACTCCTCTACAGTGTCTACAGGGACCCCCTGGATGGAAACAGGGCTCACAGGTGTTTTGGCCCTCCTCAGATCCACTATTAGCTCCTTAGTCTTTGTCACATTGAGCTGCAGATGGTTCAGCTCACTCCAAGTGAAAAGTTGTCCACCACTGTTGACCGGCCACATGCTCGGCATCTAATGCTACAATCTTACATCCATAGCTTGTGTCAAATATGTCTGACCTGAAACCGTTGCATAAACCTTTTTCGATTTTGCTGTGGTGTTTATAACATATTAAAGGGGTAATTCTATTTTTGCTGTGGCTGGGTGCTAGCTAATTGTTGCCTTGTCACGGCCCAAGGTTCTGCTTTGAAGAATAGGCGACTTACTTTTTATGTCAGTAGTCACACACACACAAAGACACTCACACAGACATACATATATATTATATATTATAATTATTTATGTGTTTTTATGTTCACACAGACATACATATATATTATATATTATAATTATTTATGTGTTTTTATGTTTGTTTTTCAGACTGTTTACAGTGATTGGATTTTGCTTGTCCGACACAAAGTAATTATTAAGCTTTTAATATTTTTTATTATTATTATTATTATTATTAGAGTTATTGGTAATTGTGCTAAAAGACAGTTTTACTGTGTTTTATTAAATTTAGTATTAAGTGATTGTACATCAGGCCCAGATTTCACTGTCTCATGTTAAGGATTGCTATAGTACTAATTGTGTTGTTTCCCCGCTCTTTCAGCACCTTCATGTTCAGATCACCTTTGCTTGGCATTCCGCACCAGACACTTCACCTTGTATCCATATCAGCTACTTACTTTGATTCATACTGAGTTGCTTGTCTCACTACATATTTACCTTTTCTAAACCCACCACCAAAACTTTTAACTGCACACATACCTACACCACACCTTCACACACTTACCACAGGACACAAAATTTGCACATCACGCATACACACCCACACTCAGTTATACACAGAGCACCTATACATATTTCCAGTTTCATCTCATTACATAAAAAAAACTTAAAAAACAAAACAAAAAATGTCATTGCATTTGTTGTTATTGCTGCCTGTTTTGCTTTGTATTTGCTGCCTCAGTAAAGATGTTTAAAAACCTAATTTCTGTTCCATCCCTACAGTTTTATTTTCTGGAGCTGGATGTTCACAGTTATCTCTTTACCTCCAGCGTCCAGGAGTGCCAGGGACTGAACTGAGCTGTGTTGTATATTTGCAGGCCTCCAATACTGCCACTTTGCGGATGAGTTCTGTCTCAACCGTCCAGAGCTGTGGGCCTTGGATGGTGTCAGCATTGCCTTTCCACACAGTGAAGCTCTCATCAGTACAGTAGCAGGTGGGAGGTTAACAACAGTTTTAAATCTCCTCAGTTTGCAGGTCCAGCTCGGTGACCACGCAGGGATCTCTATCCTTGTGCAGTTGCTGTGGAAGGCCACCTACGAAGCTCTGGAGCCCCCAGCAGCCCAGCCTCAGGAGCCTGGCAGGGTTCCCTAGTCCACTTCTCCCAGGATTCGTCCACGTGGTGTGGTGAGAGGTGAGGTCCCTGCCCCACGTCCTCCTCCTGCAGAGTGGACCGTGGTGGGATCTGCTGCCAAGGTAAGAACTAACGTGAAGCACACGAGTGAATATGTCATTGAAATGAGCCTTTTATGCACTGTGGCATTTCAGTGACGCCTCTCAGGGGAAGCTGAGCTGTCTTTTCTTCATCCAGAAGGAGGATGGTTCGACAAGAGCTTACTGAGTATTATTTTCTGTAGCTTTGTCTAATCTCTGTGTCTCTTCTGACAGGTGGAGGCAGGTGCTGTGCCCTCAGGGGAGTCCTTCCTGCCCCTGAATCCTCAGAGGTTCTCTCCTGAGATCCTGACGGCCATGGAGAAGCTGGTTCCCTCTGATATTGTTGGGAGGATGTGGGATGGATCCATAGTTGGGTTTTCCTTAATTAAATGGACCTAACGTGTGTGTTCCTCCATCAGGCGTCGCCTGTGGAACATGGGAGGAGACCTGCTGCTCTGAAGAGGAGGCGAGCCCAGCCACAGGTCTGGAATGACTTTAGTCCATTTCAGCTTCACTTTGGTCAGAAGTTACTGTGAAATGTTCGTGTTTTAATGTGAGTGGATTTTGTTTCCAGGTGTCATCGACACCAGCTGTTCCTGCACCTGCTGCTGTGATGGAAGGAGCGCCCAAGGAGAAGGTTGGTGTTGATAGTTTGGAAAACACTTCTGACTTTATATTCAATAATATTTTTTTCTCTTTCCCTTGATAAGAATGCCTGTTTAGAGGAAATATCCGATACTGCTGCTGAAAATAACTGAGAAACATGTTCCACTTCATCTATTTAACTAGTAAAACATGTTCCACTTCATCTATTTAACTTGTAGATTATCCACATGATGGTTTAATCTCTAATATTACTGTATCAGCTCGTTTAGACTCTGTTCATCACATTCTACATATTTTAAACACCTTTGTCATTGCAGAGAGATGAACGCGGGCCCGATGTTTCAGGGGACGGCAGGCCAGACCTGACGACTAAGAGCTATCCCCTGATCAGGTAAGTACTTCTCTAACTCCTTCTTCTTTGTCTCACCAGGCGGCTCCACCTGCCACGACAGCGATGCCTGCATCTCCGGTGGAAGAAGCTCCCTACTGGGCCCAAATAGTGGCAAGAAAGGTATTTTTCCTTTCACGACATGTTTGCCGTCTGCGCTTTTCTCTTTCACACTTCCTGTTCATGACATTGGTCCTCGTGCAGGTTTCTACACCACCGAGACACTTCAGGATAGACCTGGAAGCCTCCGCTCCAACAGTTTCACCAGCACAGAAAGTATTTCCATCCATTACTCGCATTTTCACATTGGTGCCTAAACCTTTTATCACATCTGTCCCAGTTTGATTTTCTGGGATTTTTGCTCATTAATTCAACTCCTCTAGATTCCCAGGTTTCAGACCCCTCCGCGTCCTGACATCTCCAGGATGATGTGCACTCCTCCTCCTTCACCTGACTAGGTACACACTTTATGCAGCATTGGAAAAATGGTGTGTGATCAGAGTCTGAAATAAGGGGGGGTCCGGGCGGGCTTGACCCCCCCGATTCACCCATGAGACCCCCTGAAAGCCTTAAAAGCAAAATTCGAAGTGGGTTTTAAATTTTGTAAAACAAAATTAACTTTTTTTTGTCACTAATGGTCACTAAAATGTTTTTAAGCTCAACATGTCCAGTATTCAAAATTCAAAACATTTATTCACAAATATGTTCTGTTTTTTGCCAAGTGTAGCCAGCCAATCCTGTGCGCGCCAAACAGAAGAAAGACATAATGTTGACAACAAGTAATACTAAAAATGGCTAGCAAGCGAAAGCCTAATAAGAGTGTATCACTCGCACACTTTGGGTTCACATCCAAAAAGGTAGCACTGATGAGATGGGCCTCCTTGTCACCAAAATGGAGGATCCTATGCATACATGTTTTCAGAATTAAACAAATAAATTACTTGAAGCTGTTCTGATTCTGCTCTGTTAATGTCTTTTCAGATGACCAGCAGCTCATCCCCCTCCAGCTGCTACACCACAATGGAGATTGGATCTATGGACTTTACTTTTCCTAGTCTAAGGGTAGGTTTGGCTTCTTACTACATGTGTGTATTATCTAGTCTGTCTATTGTCTTTCACAAGCCTGCCACCTCAGGAGAAGAGAGTTTCCCCTCCTGCACCTGAAACACCTCTGGGGCAGAAGTACAGACGAGGCCGGGCTGTGAGGGCCTCTCATTCTCAGGCTGACAACAGATATGAGTGCTTCAACAGGAATCATCAGTACACCTCCAACTCCCTCACATTCCTGGCATACCACGCTGAGGGTGTCCATTTTAGCACAGCAGAGCTAGATAAGGTACTGGAACAAGGGGATTCGCTTCATATATGGGCCAAGATGAAGCTCATTCAAGAGGGACGGTTCGTATCTAGAAGAGATTCCACATCAGATTCACACAGACCGACACACGTACAACAATGACAAAGGAGACATCGGCTTAGGGTTTCTGAGGGCGGAAGAAGGCAGCCCTCACACACAGAAGTGGTGGTTACCCCTTGCCACACATCTTGAGTGTCTGTCTGAAGAAGACTTCCCTGATGGAAGAGGGAGGTACGGTTTCTTCGACTCACACTCAAGAAGCTCCTTAGGTTTGCCCCTCTCTGGTGGAACTGCAGTGATGCTGACTTTCAGTAACCTGGGTCAGCTGGTCCAGCACCTGGACATGCTTTTTAAAGACAACAACCCAGTATGAATTTTTGCCTGTTTCATTTGAGCCAGTCACAAATGATGGCAATGAGCATCCAAGGGCTGCAGCTAGTGTTCCACCTGAGAACATTAATGTTCCCGCGCAGCCAGCAGAGAACACTGCTAAACAGGTCTCTGCTGAGCACGCACACACCAGCTCCGTCCGTCACACAGCACACATAAGTCACACTTTGAAGACACCGAGTTTAACAAAGGTAAGTAAAGAACGCCGTCGCAAAGCAGCTCGTCGTATTAGGAATGAATCGGTACCTGAAACAGTATATATAACAGATATAAAGCAGTGGCTGTCACAGAACTTTTTGCACTTAAATGACAGCAAAACTGAATGCATTCTGTTTGGTTCTCCATCTATGTCAAATGTTCTCGCCACAAACTCTAGCAATCTGGCCCCCCTTTTTAAATCTCATGTCAAAAATCTTGGGGTAACATTTGATAATGGGCTCAAATTTGACAAACAGATTAGCTCTGTTGTCAGCTCAAGCTTTTTTCAGCTCCGTCTTCTGGCCTAAGTCAAGTCCTTTCTCGAGAAGGCAATCCATGCTTTCATTAGTTCAAGGCTGGATTACTGCAATTCCCTTTACATTGGCCTCAGTCAATCATCAATTTCCCGTCTCCAACTTGTGCAGAATGCTGCTGCCCGACTTTTAACAACCACGTCCAGACGTGAGCACATTACCTCTGTGCTGTCGTCACTCCACTGGCTTCCAGTCCGTTTTAGAATTGATTTTAAACTCGTGCTGTTTGTTTTTAACGCCATTTATGGCTTGGCCCCTTCTTACTTGTCTGAGATTTTAACTTTTCGCAGTTGTGGCAGAGCCTTGCGCTCCTCGGGTCAGCTTCTGTTAGAGGTCCCCAGGTCAAGACTCAAACAGTGGGGCGATCGTTCTTTTGCCGTCGCTGCTCCCAGACTGTGGAACAAACTACCCCCTGAAATCCGCACCACTACTGACCTCAGCCTTTTTTTAAAAAAAGCTTAAGACCCCCTTTTTTAAATTAGCATTTAATTCGGACTAGGGTCTCTTAGGTTTCCTCCTTCTGTCTGCTCCTTTCTACGCATTTCTGGAAGGCTTTTAATGCCCTGAAGAGCTGCACCACTACAGCACTTTTAGTTGTTTCTGTATGTTTTGTATGTTTTTTGTATTGTTTTATGGCTTTGTTGTAAAGCACTTTGAGTACCATTTGGGTATTGTAAAGGGCTATACAAATAAACTTGATTGATTGATTGATTGATTGAGTATCTACTGAGCTACAAAGGACAAAAAACTTTCGTGAAAAGCAGCAGTATGCCAGCAGTACAGAGGATTGGACCAAAAAACTAGACACATCAACACATATATAGAGCCGATGCACTCTGACAGAAAAGACTTTCACTATACAAACATCATTTTGCCAGTACACAAGATAAAGTTAGAGCATACAAAGTTAGGATTTACCAAAGTGATGCTGTTATTAAGAACAAAAAGAAACAGTATCATGTCCAAAAATACAAAACTGATGTTGCATATCAGCGTAGACAAAAACGGTACATTGTCAATAGGTACAACACAGAGAAGCATTTCAAAGACAGACAGAAACAGTACATAGTAAATAGGTACAACACAGAGAAGGATTATAAGGAAAGACAGAAACTGTACTATGTCACTAGATAGAACACAGTTCCATCTTTTAAAGAAAAACGTCAAAGGTACAAAACTCTAACATATTTAGAAAATACCTCACACAGAATTAATAGGAGAGTTTACAGTACCAATCTGTATAATTGTAATGACATGTACAGAAAAAGTAAATTACAAAACATATATACTATGTATCACAGTGACCCCGACTTTAGACAGCAACACATAGAGCGCTGTGGACAACTCCAAAAACTCAGATTAGCTACCGATACCATACTCCACATACAACATAAGTTGCAGTGTGCACTGAGGATCCGGAGGAGGTATAGGTACATCTCTAGACCCTGTCGCCTGAGCGTGCTGCCTGAACCAGAGCCCAGTAACGTTCAGGCAGTAACGAAAAATGCACAGCCTGCTGTTAGTGTTGTACAGGTACAGGTTGGTGGACCTGAGGCCCAGCCGGAGCTCAGTGTGCAGCAGCCAGAGCTCAGTGGTGCTGCGCAGGAGCCTCAGCTGAGCCACGCGGTGCAGGAAGCTCAAGTTCAAGAGCCTCAGGTAAGTGAAGTTATAGAAGCAGCAATTTCAGCGTTCCTTCAACAGGTTTGGGAAGGACCCACCTTGATTTGTACAGTGTCACAGGACACTTTCTAAATCAGGTGTTGTGTTGCAGAAGGTCCAAGTATGTCCAGACTGTTCACATCGTTGCTGCTTGTTTATCGGGAACATATGGTCACCGGTGTGGCCGGCGCTGTTCAGCCCCATGTACCGTGTCAGCTGAATTAAATGTGCTTGAGAGACAACTTATAGCTAAGATCTTGCCATTTGCTAAAATAGTAGCTTCACCTAAAAGTCGGCAGAGAGCGGTACATGGGGCTGTGGTGTGTGTTCCTTCTGAGATGGAAACCACAGTTAACTGCCTCCCACGGCCCAGAGAAGAGGCTCAGCTGCTGCAGGTTAAGCTGAAACGTAACATTAGATACAAGGGCCATCAGTACTTCTTAACTGTAAACATGAAGAACGTGTTAGGCGCTTTAGCCACTCTTAAAGAGATTAATCCAGAGTATAGGGACATTTCCATTGACCGTGAGGTTAATTATGATTATCTTTTTGATGATGAGCCAAGTGATTTAGAAACGGAGGAAATCTCCGATGCAGATTTGTTAGAAGCAGCTGCAGACCCCAACATTGAGGAAGGCCCCATTGAAGGTGGAAATGCTGAGAAGCAGCCAGAGGAGGAGCTTCGTCCAGGTTTGGCCCTCGACAGTTGCATGCAGCCTCCTGATATCGCTCAAGAAATTCTGTCATACGGTCATGGTATTTTTAGCATAGCACCTGCCCAGGGAAACAAACCTGTTGGAATTTTTACCACCACAAAGTCTATTCGGGAGGTCCTCCACGACAGGGTTCACGGACCTTATTTCAGGCCCCCCCCCCGCTTAAGATCCGCGTCTTGGCGACCAGGGAACAGACACGAGTCCTGTCCTGGGAGTTCGGGGAGACGACGGCCACCCCAAAATACGTCAAAATGAACAAAGTGTTGGCCATCAGTGATGGCCAACACTTAGTTAAGGTTACACTTTTTGAGGAATTTTCCTCAAAAATTAAAATCAACAGTTCCTACCTGATGAGGGGTTACTCCCTCAAGGGCCAGTCCCCCCCTTATGCTCTTCTAGTTACCAGGGACACCCAATTCCTCAGGACGTCTCCTGTGGCGGTGTCAGAAGAGCTGGCTGCGGAGGCCCTGTCGGCCCTCTTCCCCCCATCAAGCCTGACCAATATTGGGCAGGTCAGGGGGAAGAGGGGACTGGTGACGGTCGACGGCCAGGTGGTTGAGGTAATTACATTTAAATGTCCATATTTCTATTTATGAAGGCATTTTAAAGTAGATGCAAGACAATTAAGTACATATCAGAGAAAACCTTCCTAAATCAGCTGTAATATCAGGAATCGCCTTTCATGACACAGCTGAGCTTCTATGTGCTTCATTTCAGGAACAGAAAGAGGTCGTTTGCCATTGTTTTTCTTTTTAGATCTCTGCTGTTAAAAAATTTTTGGTGGGGAGGGAACAGGTCCCCAAAAGGACTGTGCGCCTTCAGGAGGTAAAGAGCGCTACTTGGATTGATTTCTTACCACTACTGTGTCATATGTCTGACCAGAACTTTTTGTGTCAACAGGGTGACGACCAAATTGAGGTGGCGCTGTGGAGGGAGGCAGCCGTCCACAAGGTGGAGCTGGACCGCAGGTGCGGCTCGGCTCTCGCACCTGCACTTCGGTAGCGCAGCCTTTGTGGACCAGCTCCAGTCCACAGTGTTCACTGCGGATGAAGTAAGCAAAGCTGAATGTTTAGCTTTGCTGCAATATATTACAGACATGCTGATTTTGTATTTTCTTTACAGATCCAGGCAAATGTAGTCAAAGAGCTGAGCTCTGTGGAGGTCCTGGGCGTCGTCGAAAGTGAGGAAGAGGGACGGCTCTACCTCGTTCTGGAGGACGACGTCCAATACAAAGTTGAGTCGTCCCTCTGGGAGCCTCATGAAGAGGAACTGATGAAGAGGAGGCTCTTTGTCGGGGTCAACGTTGTCGGGGGTGTCATCACCACGATAAAAGTGGTGGAGGCCCCCCAGGATTCGTAATGTTTTCTATTTAATAAATTGTAAAAATGTTCAACCTTTGTCCCTGATTTTATTTGATATTAAATGTTAACTGTTTATAGTTTTATCCCTTTCACACTTCACTTAAAAAAATCCAGCTTTTTTTAAAACATGGCAGTTTTTAAATCATTGAAATTTTTTCTTACAAAACAAAAGATAAGATTTTGTATCTTTGGGTGTTTTTTATATTATTCAAGTATTAAATGGACATTTATTTTATATTAAATGTGAACTGTTTATAGTTTTATCCCTTTCACACTTCTCTTAAAAAAAATCCAGCCGTTTTTTAAAATCATTGAACTTTTGTCTTAGAAAACAAAAGATAAGATTTTGTATCTTTGGGTGTTTTGTTTTTTATTTCCACACGTACACAAAAGCACAGTAATAACACATGCGATGATGATATTTGCTTCGATTTAGATATTATTCAAGAATTAAAATGACGTTCAATCTCAAACGTCTTTTTTTCAGCAAAAGATATGATTTTGTATCAGTGGGTGTTTTTTATTTCCACACGTACACAAAAGCACAGTAATAACACATGTGATGATGATATTTTCATCTATATCAGCTCCTTAAAGTATTTTATGCATTCTTTTAATACTCAAAATTCTTCCATCAGTCATTTCTGAGTGTGGAATGGACTCCTACGGTACAGAACTTTGGCACAAAGTGCCGGTTCCAACTGACTGGAGAAATGCAGGGAAATACTTTAGATTTTTTTTTTAAACTGCATTTGTGTCCACAATCTTTAACTCACTGAAATTATTTTTACAGAAAAATGGAGGAAAACGTATCCTCTTTCTCACATTGTAACTTCCACAGCATTCAGGGTTTATTTTTTTTAACCAGAGCCTTCAAAGTCAAGAGATACCTTCCAGCTGCCAAACAGAAAGCAGCTCAACCGAGAAGACTGAGCCCCAAAACCTGAAAAGACAGCTATTAAATATGCTCTAATTTTGTTCAACTTTTTTTCATATGAAGACAAATGAAACTCTGTTATAATCAGCAAAGTCCCGTTTCTCCGTTGGTGTAAAAACATGGACACCTTGAGTTCCAGTTTTCAGCAAAGCTCAGAGATTTGAGCCATCTTTGGTCCAGACTTACTGACTCTTCATAGCAGAATAACTGACAGAGAGAGCTGTTCCAACTGACACACACAC